CCTGCTGGATGATTTGGAAATTATGAGCTTCGCCACAGCACAGAATCTGTAGAAAACAGGCAGGCAATGTACGTTTAATAGTGGAAGCTGTCTGATGTGAACAGATTTACTTGATGTACTCCAGATATTTGACATTTTCCATGTGAAAAATATATTTAATGTTTGCTCAGAATATGGCTGCCTCCTCAAGAAAATACATTAACAGCTCCTCAAAATACCATGATTTGAAACTGTGTGACCTTGTTTCTCTCCACAAAGGCTGAAAACCAAAGTTCAAGTTATACAAGAAAAATGCGTAACACTACAAAAATCGTTTATTACCATAAATGCATAAAAACTGAATGCTGTTGAATTCTGTCACACTAATTTTGATAAAAAGAACTGCATTAGAGTTTCCATTTCTCAACTTTGGCTGCAGTTACATGATGCTGAGAGGCACTTGCCCTGCTCTCCCTCCACTGTACAGAGCTGTGTGTAACAGGAAAAAAGAGCAACCACCATCACATAAGAAACTCAAGAAGGAGACATTCTCAAAAGCAGAATGTCCTAAACATTTGAAGATAATTACCTTCCAAAAGTGAAGTAGATTGTAACATTCTGAAGTATCTGGAAGTTAAATTGCTACGTATTCCTGATAAAAGTCAGGTGTATTGAGAAATTATGCTCTCAAAGATTGTCAGCAACTTACAATTCTCCCTGTCAATTTGCTATGCGATTTTAAACAGAATCCTACCACAAGTAGTTTTTACCTTGGGTTGATTTAGGGGGAGAGAGGAAGAAAAAGAACAGGAAACATTGCCCTGTGCTTCCCTCCACCCTCATCTAGGAAGACTATCAGAGCTTGTATGGTTAAAAGGACTCAAATAAAAAAAAATCTATTTTTTTATAAATTGCCAGTTCATGCTGTATACATTATGCTGCTTTTCTATGTTTCTCGAATTTGTTCTAGAACAGAATTGGTATTTTAGACCAGTATCGTTCGTACAATCGCCAACTAATCACACTAAATTCTTTATGAAAAGGCCATGTACTGCATGACTATGGTTGCAGTTCTTACCTATTGAAATTCCACTAGAAAGTGTGGAGCTCTCTGCCTGCCCTCGGGATGGGACGTGAGGCTCCATGACGCTGTCATCCAGTAGATGTCTTGGTCCTGCGTTGGGGAATGTCGCGCTTTTAAATTCAGCCGTATTCATTTTGTGTATGAAACTAGAAATGAACAAGAATAGAACTGTTACAACGTTACCGTCACTACCTTTCACAAGGTGTTGCTTTAACATCCTCAAGGACTGCACGCAGTGTGTTCTGAATACCAAACGAAATCGTGGCACAGGTCTCAAGCAACTGTGCACAAACTACACTTTCTATAGGAATTGCTAGTCTTAAAACGGCACAGCACTCACGGAGCAAAGAGAAAGTCAGGAGCACTTGAAAATTTACTTTCAATATCCTAAGGTATTTTTGTCTTTCTATAGCACTTACGTTAACTGAACTTTAGAAATGTATTCCAGCTCATTAAAGCTCATTAAACTTACACAATATTAGTTAAGAGATGACTTACTAAATAGCTACAATCTTGTGTTTTGAAATGATGACAAGGGAACTGACAACATAATGATCAAGATAATTAATTAGAAGTGCACCTATACAGAAAAACATCTCAAGCTACTGCTACAGAAAGTTATATGAAAGTCTAGAAGGGAGGTCTCACTATAAAAATACCAATAAAGCAATTAATTCCATTTGAATTTGAAAGAGTTATACTGGCGTTGAGTTGCTATGAGCGATAACTCTGGTTCTCAGCTAAGTAAAATGCTGACTTGTATCCCAGACTGTGACATTTCCTATGTCCATGTGGGATCAGGTTCCTGGGTGAAGGGGGTGTTGGTGGTAGCAAGGCTCCTTCGGCTGCAACGTTCTTCCGTCCGCTTTGTGGAGACGCTCCAACTTCAGAGCCTGGGAAGAAAAAAGACATTACTCCTGAGTAGCTTTAGAATTACTGTCAGTGCTACTTCTCAGAAAATTGCGGAGGAATTACACAAAACTTCCTTAACTCAATTTGTAACAGACAGCCTGTAATAAAACCCATTGATATAACAACCCTGTACTTTAAATTTTTTTTGCATGGGATTAAAAATAAACACACTTAATTCAAATATACCATCTAGTTACAAGTATTTTCTACGTCCTAAAGGTCGCTGTATTAGCTACCTTGGCATTAAACAGGTCCCACTGATTTTATGTTTTGAAACTCCTGCTTTCAACCCGGTTTGGCACTGATCAAAAATCATGTACATTTTTGGAAGTGTATTATACCATGAAAAGCTTCAATGAAGGCCCTTCTGTCTAGATGCAACAAAGAATAAATATTTAATAGCTCTTCACCCCAAATGACACAGCAAGTTAGTGCCACAATACATACAAGAACCTAAAAACTGACTCAACTCCTTGAAAGAATTTCTTTACAGATCACCTTTAGACTTTTTATTACAAATATACAGTGTTTATACTTCACACTTTATTAGCCTCAGGCAAATATTTTCCACGTTCACAACTCCGAAATAATGCATTTGACAACCTCAAGTTTTCTCACATTCATTAAACATTTACCTACTAAATCTTCTCTGGAAGCAGCAGAGTGGGGAGTGCTGGTCCCTGGTTCTATCTTTAATGAAAGTCTGCATTAAAGAAGCATTAAAAATTACTTTACTGGGAAATAGAAGCACATAAAAGTACATTTTAGAAAAATGATCGTTTTAAATTTACAGTTGAAAGCTACCTGTTCCTGTAATTGCAAGAAAAGCCATAAAGGTAACGCAAATCGTGCACAGTTATCTTTAACACATTATTTCAAAACACTTTTTCCTTTTTTCTTTTTTTTTTTTTTGTAATAAACCCTACTACTGCTACAGGCCCCAGGATTCAAAACGTGCCATGCCAGGGCATAACATAGCAAATGAGTCTATTGCTTTGGTTCACACAGACCAGGACAGGTTTGCAAAATCACACCAAGACAGGAGAGACTCAACAGCAAAACCTGGGCTACAGCACAACCCCACACAACCTCTTCTGCGCCTGCGAGCGGGATGCAGCTAGCCCAGCCGGCCACCAGCAGC